GGGAGTCCCGGATGATGGAGACCAATCCCCCGACTCGTATGACAGCGAGGACGATGGTGAAGATGACCCGATGGTGAGTGGACCCATCCACCCTTTCCTTTTCCCCATATGCCTAACAGCCCCAAAAACAGGAACCCAAGAGACTTTCCAAGCCCTGATAGATTCGGGCTGCACTAGGTGCCTGATTAATCTACCCACAGTCCTAAAATTGGGGATCTGAGCTAAGAAGCTCAACCACCCAATTCAATTTGAGCAAGTTGATGGGACCCTAGTAGGCAGAGCTTATGCCACACAACTGACTGAGCCAGTGAAGCTAGAACTAGGGGATCACTGGGAGACGATTCAGTTCATAATAGCCCCCAAGATGGCCGATCCAGTCATAATGGGACTCTCCTGGCTAGACAAGCGGGGTCCAATCATCTGGTGGCAAGAGGGGACCCGCAGATTGAGGATAGCAAAGGGGCCTCAACCTCTGCCGCTCCAACCAGGACAGATACCCCCCACACTCGAACCCCAACTTCCCCCGCCTGAACAAAAGAAGATGGCACCGACACAAGGGCCCCTCCCGAAGGGCACTGCGAAGCAGCTGGGGGTCACATCCAACATCTCCCATGAAGCAGAGCAGATCCCAAAAGAGTACCAAGACCTAGCACAGGTATTTAGCGAGACCGAGTGTGACGTCCTACCTCCCCACCGCGATGCCGACTGCACCATCAAAATCATCCCCGGGGCAAAACTACCTTAACCTAAATTGTATGCCATGACGCCCTGTGAAATGCAAGAAATGCGAAACTACATAGACAATGGTGTTCATGCAATTGATAAATGAAGTTCTACATGACCACCTATATAAGGGGGTCCTCGTCTACTTAGATGGCATTCTCATTTACATGGAGACCATAGACGAACACATACCCCTCGTCCGCAAAGTGCTGGAAAAACTGCTGAAAGCGAACCTCTATGTCAAACTGTCAAAATGCGAGTTCCACCAATCGCGACTAGACTATTTAGGTTACCGAGTGTCAAACGAGGGGACAGAGATGGACCCAGTTAAAGTACAATCAGTCCTAGACTGGCGACCCCCTCGCACCCGCAAGCAACTACAAAGCTTCCTGGGGTTCGCAAATTTCTACAGGCAATTCATCCCCTTCTTTGCAAGAATTGCCAAACCTCTGACGGACCTCCTAAAGACAGGGAGTCTGACAACGAAACCCCGCCCGGGACAACTTCTACAGTGGGACCCGGCCTGCCAACAGGCATTCGAGACACTAAAACAAATGTTTGCAAAAGAACCGGTCTTGAAGCATCCTGACCCCGAACAACCCTTCGTCATCCAAGCAGATGCCAGCAATGTGGCAGTAGGGGCAGTCCTACTCCAAAAGAACAGCCAGGGGGACCTGCAACCTTGTGCCTACACATCCCGCAAACTCACCGACACAGAGAGACAATGGGTGGCGTGGGGAAAAAAAGCGTTCGCAGTGAGGTGGGCACTGTTAACCTGGCGACACCTGCTAGAAGAAGGCCAGACACCGTTCGAGTTTGGACTGACCATAAAAACCTGGAGGCCCTCAAGACCCCACAGAAGTTATCGCCCAGGCAAGTCCGGTGGGCCCAATACTTCAATCGTTTCAACTTCGAGCTGAAGCACATCCCAGGGGGGAAGAACTTTCTGGCCGATGCCCTCTCCCGAATGCCTCAATACAACAGTGAACATGAGCAGGTAGTGAATGCCATCATCCCCTCTGCCCAAGGAGTGGGCCAGGTAACCACCAGACGGCAGCATCGAGACCAGCCGGGGCAACCAGCAAGTGACCTAACGACAAGGCTCAAGGCAGAAACGTTGGCAGACCCCTGGTTCCGAGATAATCAACATCTCTTGACAAAGAGAGATGGCCTAGCATGGAGAGGGATGAAACTTTATGTCCCAGAGACCTTACGCACCTTGGTCCTCAAGAGGAGTCACGACGTCAAACCAGCGGGACATTTTGGTTTCCTAAAGACTCTGCATTTAGCACGGAGACAGTTTTGGTGGCCCCGCATGAGAAAAGACGTAGACAGCTATGTAAAAAGTTGTACCATGTGTGCCACGATGAAAACCCGATCAGGAAGGCCCCCGGGGCTGCTGCAGCCAGTAGCTGAACCGTCAAGGCTATGGGAGGAGATTGCTATGGACTTCATAGTCGAACTGCCGAGGAGCAGCGGAAACACAGTGATCTGGACTGTAATAGACTTATTCTCCAAACAGGCACATTTCATACCCTGCAGCGGACTACCCTCAGCCCGCCAATTGGCCAAACTGTTCGTGAAACACATCTACCGCCTGCATGGAGTACCCAGAAGAATCATCTCCGATCGAGGTGTCCAGTTTACAGCGAAGTTCTGGAGGGAATTCCTTCGATCCATAGGATCATCCCAAGGCCTCAGCTCAGCGTTTCACCCGAGCACCAATGGGGGGGGCGGAGAGATTGAATGCCATGATAGAGCAGTACCTGAGGTGCTACGTTGACTACCAACAATCGAACTGGGCGGACCTCTTATCGTTTGCGGAGGTCGCATATAACAATGCTGTTCACAGTAGTACAGGACTAACCCCATTTAAGATAGTGAGCAGCATGGATTTCGTCCCCATGCCAGAGTACGCAAGGGAGCCTCCTTTCTCAGTTAGCTTGACCGAATGGATGGCAATGCTGAGAGAAACCTGGGAGAACGTCAAGAAGGCATTAGACAAGGCGGAACGGTTTTATAAGAAACAAGCAGATAAGCACCGAGCCCCCAGAGGCCGTTCCAAGTAGGGGAGAAGGTCTACCTCTCCACCAAGTATTTAAGACTCAGACTCCCGACCAGAAAACTGGGGCCGAAATTCATAGGACCATTTCCGATAGTAAAAATAATCAACCCGGTTACAGTACAATTGCAGTTGCCCCAGTTACTAGGGAGGATACACCCCGTTTTTCACAGTAGCCTCCTGAAGCCTATGAAAGGGTCAACTTTAAGGCCGGCGCCACGTGATCCCCCAGGGCCCTTGATTATTGGAGGCCAAACCCACTATGAAGTACAGTGAATTCTTGATTCGAGGTGGCACAGAGGGCACCTCCAATACTTAATTAAGTGGAAGGGTTACCCCTTGTCAGAAGCTTCCTAGGTGAAGAGGACGAACATTCAAGCTGACCGCCTTATAGCTAAATTCCATGCAGATCACCCGGACAAGCCTGGGGGGGGTGGGACACACCCTCGGACGGGGTAAGGTACTAAACTTGTTGTTTGTCTCGCGCAGGCCTCACTGGGAGAGTGAAGGGAGAGGGGCCGGATGTCAGCGTCTCAGCGCTGACATAGAAAAGGGAGGCTGAAGCCTGAACTTTTGCCTGCTAACTCCCTTTGAAGATTCGGTCTCCTTGGAGATGAGGAGTGGGGAAACATTCCTGTGAACTGACGGGAAAAGGAATCAGGAGAGTGACTTGGAAGATAGCCAATGAGAAGCAGAGAATTGGGGATCGGAAAGGGAGGGATTGGGGGGCAAAGGTCAGTATTGACCGCGAAGAGCCAGGATCCGGTTGCTGTGCTCGAATAAAGAGAAAATTTCCTTAAAGATTGGCAGTTTGGAAGTTCATTTATTTTGAGATAGCATCGAAACCTGACACTGAACTTGCAAGCTAGTAAGAAAATTTGCATTGGGCCCAGGAGCTTCCAGAGATGGCAGGAGAGTCTCTGTAGATTAAATTCCAACAGATTTATTTCATAGATCTAGACATCTGTTCATTTTTTCCTATTCTCATTCTTTTACTGCTTTCTTCAGAGCAGTAGTTCGTGTGTTCTATTTTTGAAAAGCAATAGATGTTGAACCATTATATTTTTCCATATTTACTGCATTTAAATGCGTTAGTATTATTTTGATTTCACACACACAAAAATGAAGTAGGATTTATATCATGGCTTTTTAATTAATATTTACAGAAGAACATGATAGGAAAGTTCTAAAGGGTTTAGTTGATCCCAAAATTCAGATTCAAGTCTTTGTTCCTAGAAAGAAAAATCTATCCAGAATTTTCATGTGAACCTCCAGGGTTTTTACTGAGCAAAGATATCTGTCATGTGTACATGTTCAGCCTTTTGTGTTGAACACCACAATGAAAAAGCTCAAAGCAAGTTGCTGCTTGACTATGTTACAGGAGTTATATGATTTGTGGAAACAAGAACAGTATCCTTGGAATACTGTTTTCCTACCATTAGCTAGGAAAATACCAATTTCTTTATTGCATTCCTAGAAAAGGTGTCTTTCCCCTGTGCTGAGACAGATCTATACTCAATAAAGAAAATGCAGTTCCTCAGTAGCAAGATTTGGTCAATGCTTGGCAATGTGATATCCATTGCTCCTGGGTATACAGCACTTACAAGTCAAATACCACTTTAATAAAGACCTCAGAGGCATTGTGTTTCAAAGTTAAAATGGGCACAGGAATGCACACAAATCTAAACAATTTAGCTGTTGTCTTATCTGAGTCACTACATATGCAAAGAACCCAGAACCTTTTTATCCTATTCATTCCCCCTACATGGCTGAGATCTCTTGGGAACTGGAGGATGTGGTTTGCCCTCTGAAAGAAACAAGACCATCGTGCATCAGAAATATGCCACCCAGAGCTGCTAGGGAAACATTTGTGTGAGAGATGAATGCCAACTACCATGAGCTAGAATAATTTGTTAGTTGCTTTTTCTATTAACGGTAGAAGCTTCAGTCTATGAGATTGGGTTTATTGCAAGTACCTCATACTGAGCCCTAGTATGATGAAGAATAGAATTCTTATCAGTGGAGGCATGCTAATACATCCTGTTCTCTTAAAAGACACATATTAGTAAAACATTGACTTTAGCAAAGTTTTCAAGAGCACAGAGGGGCTTGGATTTCCACTAATGTTTGTTTACTCTACAACATGCTCTTATTTCTGTGATTATTGTTCTGCTTTTGGAATGAATGATTGGAATATGGAATTTGCCAGCCTTACTGATAACAGTAGCATGTCCTTTTGGTGGTCTGACCACGCCAAGTAGAGAGTAGCTTTTCCAGCTAGGATTAGTCTGCTTTGATGTAGCAACTTCATGCTTGCAAGCCTGAGGTCTATTCCATGTGGATCTTTCTCCTTAGCAACTTATGCTAAGGAGCATGCAGTTGGTAGGACCTGAAAGAACAAAGATAGTCAGTATCAAAAATGCTGTTTTATTGGAGTCCCATTGCGAATCCATTCCCAGAGGATTAAGCACTGTTCTAGGCTTTCTACAAGCCTGATGCTGTCGTCTTACCTGTTTGGTTTACTTGAATACTAATGCCCTTGACCTACACATGGCAGGGTTTTTGTTGCTTATATAAACAGAAATAAAAATTTGGTCTCATAATCAGTTACAAGAATTTATTTTATTCTGTTTTCATAGAATAATCAAGATGATAGTTAAAATAAACCCTAACAGAGGATTATTTTAATCTTTATTGAAATTGGCCTCTTCCCAGCATTCTGAACAGGAACGTGTGCAAATTTCCAAGCTCAGCTTTCATTATGAGGTTCCAGTCTTAACTTTCCTTAATTATTAGTGTAAATCTTTGATCCATTTTAGCACATCTCACTTTCCTAGGGATTAGCCAAATCTTTTTTTTTTTTTTTAATTTGATTTATATGCCGCCCTTCTCCGAAGACTCAGGGCGGCTTACAATGTGCTCAGCAATAGCCTTCATCCTTTTGTATATTTATACAAAGTCAGCTTATTGCCCCCACAAACTGGGTCCTCATTTCACCTACCTTAGAAAGGATGGAAGGCTGAGTCAACCTTGAGCCTTGGCGAGATTCGAACCCTGCAGTAATTGCAGGCAGCTGGTCTTAATAAGCTTAATAACAGGGTGCCTTAAACCCCTGTAGTACCAAGGCTCACTTCTAGTAAATCTTCTAGTTTCTGTGGCCAGCCACAGTGGCAAGACGTATTAATCAACATCTAAGTAAGTGCATAGTTAAGATGGCTCCAATATGCAATTATTCTGCAAGACTGCTTAGGGCAGGCCCCCAGTACCGGGCCAGCTACAGCCCAGTATCAGGCCACAAAAGCAGCATATGATCACATGCACAAAGCTCCATTTGCACAAGTGGTGGGCAAGCACATGTGCACATGCAGTTCCCATTTGCATGAGCAGTGGGGAAGTATACGCATGCACGCAGCTCCATTTGTGCAAGTGGTGAGCGAGTGCATGCATGCACACAGCTCTATTTGTGTGAGTGGCAGATAAGTGCATGCATACATGCGGTTAGCTCAATTTGTGGGAGCAGCAGGTGTGTATGCCTGCTGCTCATGCAAATGGAGTTGCACACACATGCACCCAGCTTACATAGAACCATCCTCTCTCCTCCCTTCCACACTGGTCCACAAAGCCAGAAAGGTTGAGGAATACTGGCTTAGGATATCCATTCTTCAGAAGATGGATTTCATGGTGTGTGGGAATATATACAAGGCACCTCTCTTCAGTCATAACAGCAACTGTCTCTTTTTCCAGGATTCTGCAACTCCTTTGTAAATGCATTGTTCTCAATGCCAACAACAACAGCACAGTGTTGAGCCTTGGTAGTACAGGGGTTTAAGGCACCCTGTTATTAAGCTGGTTATTAAGACCAGCTGCCTGCAATTACTGCAGGGTTCGAATCTCGCCAAGGCTCAAGGTTGACTCAGCCTTCCATCCTTTCTAAGGTAGGTAAATTGAGGACCCAGTTGTGGGGGCAATAAGCTGACTTTGTATAAATATACAAAAGGATGAAGGCTATTGCTGAGCACATTGTAAGCCGCCCTGAGTCTTCGGAGAAGGGCGGCATATAAATCAAATTAAAAAAAAAAAAAACAGTGGTGCAAGTATTTAGTAGTGTAAAAGTGTTACACTTGTCAGGTCCCCGATGGGATGCTGTCATTCTGAAGAGGGAGGGGGCAAGTAGCTGGAGCTGAATTCTTTGCATGCTTTCCCTTTTGCTTTACTTCAGGGGATTTAGGGAGGGGCTGGATGGATGGGCTTCTTCTCAGTTAGAACCAGTTTACCCAAGGTTGCAGTGCCCTGAGAGTAAACTACTATCAAGTTAACATCTTGGAGCTTCTCAAAACACCTTTGTGGCATATTATGGACTATTGGGGGACTGGGGGATTGGGTGGGGTTTGAAGAGGGAAAAAGAGCTTAATGCTTTATGCGGGCTTTTCAGATTCTGCCTGACTTCTGTGCAATCACTTTCTCTCAGTAAAAGTTCCCTTTTGAACTACAATTTGAACTACCAAGAGTAATGCTTTCCTCAAAAGTTAGCTAAGGCAGGTCCTTACATTAAGTGGGATCTGCAAAGTGGTCAACCCAGAGAGGCAAGCAGCCCTACTGTGGGGATCTTGCAAACTATGTCCACCCAAGGCTGAGTGTTGGGGGGAAGCCTCTGGCAAGACTCATCAAGAAACCAAGGCTGGAGGATGGACAGAGGAAGCTGCCAGCCTGGGAGACCCAGATGGTCCATCAGCATTGGGAAGAAAGATGACTGAGAGGGGTGGACCAAGGGAGTCGCCCTCATCCAAGACAGCTGCCAATGTGGCTGGGAAGAAGAGTTGGAGGCACTTGAGGATGACGAGAGGAAGGGGATAAACTTAATCATGCTGCATTGCATGATGGATGCATTCCAGAGCCTGAAAGCATGGGAGGTATTGGCTGCCGGAGCCAAGCCGAGGAGGGGGAATGGACATCCTTGTCTCTTGATACCACAGTCGCAGTGCCTGTCATCCTGGCAGGGGCTGCTGCAGCTATGGGACCTCAGCCAAGAGACACCAGGGGCCCCAATGTTCAAAGGGTGGGAAAGGCAGCAGGGCCATGGAGGTGGAAGATTACCCCCCCCCCGGCATGAAATTTGATGGGAACCCCCAACAACTGGGATTTTTCCCGGCCCATGTCCTGACCTACTTGCAGGAATATGGCCACAAGATCCCTATGAAGGAGCCAAGATTAAAGTTGTCATGCTGGCACTAGAAAGGGCTGCAGCCCGATGGATGGTAATCCTCCACAATTCAGATACCCCTGAGTTTATGACAGCACTCCAATGGCAGTTTGAAGATCCCCTAGCCAATTGCAAAGCCAGAGATCACATAAAGACTGTCCAGTAAGGGAACAGACCGATGGCTGAATATAAGAGGAATTTCATGACCTGGCATGTCATCTTGACTGGCCAGAAGACATCCTCATGAGCTGTTTCAAAGATGGGCTTAATGATGACCTGTACACTGCATGTGTCATGGGGGGGGAGGGCTCACCTCTAAAGACTGGTGTATGCTGGCTGAGGAAGTGGAAATCGACCAGACCTGAAACAGTATTGTTCAGCCAAAGTTTGAAAGAAATCACTCTCAGAGAGGAAGAGAGAGGCAACCGAAAGGTAAACCCAGCCAGCACACTCCATTGCCTGTTTCAAGTGCAGCAGAGAAGGCCACCAAGCTGCAAAGTGCTGCACCAACCACCACAAACACCTTTGTGGCATATTATTGGCTATTGGGGGACTGGGAATTGGGTGGGGTTTGAAGAGGGAAAAATAGCTTGATACTTTGCGCAGGCTTTTCAGATTCCACCTGACTTCTGTGCAATCACTTTCTCTCAGAAAAAGTTTCCTTTTTAACTGCTACCATTTCAAGAGTCATGCTTTCCTAAGAAGATAGCTGAGGCAGATCCTTACAACACTACTTTTCAAGTTCATGAACCTGTGTCAGATGGAATGACACTATTTGTTCAATTTAAAATTTTGAAGACTGCGCACTTGCTTCTTTAATAGATTAAACTGCTCACCGTATGCTCAATCTACAGTGGCAATTTCAGCTTTGTTTTCTAGAATTTCAGACTATAGAGTAACTTCCACTGTCTTACATACCTATGTAGCCTTTTCTGCCATTTGGGATCTGCTAAGACCTTTATGCATCTTTAACAATTTATTCAGTATTAAATAACAATGGCACATGATTTTATTTAAAAAATTATTTCAAGTTATAGTTCAGTGTAAATTTTAAACCCTTCATCCACATGTGTTCCATAGTTCAAGCATTATATTACACCCAAAATTCTTTGCCCATTGAATCGTGTTTTGTTTCATATTCATTCTCCAAATTCAATTTCAATAATAGTTTATAAACCTCAGCAATGTTCATCATTACCACACAATACAATTTCAAATTAATTTTTCCCAAGCCCATAGTTTTTCCAGACCCATAGTTTTTTTGTCTAGTTTAAAACTTTCAATTGCATATATGTAAATCTATGACAGACACATCCTTCTGACTTTAACTTTTCTTTAGATTTAAGAATATATTCACTTTGAATGAAAGTTATTATTTAACCATACATCTACCAGTCTGGGCTCACCATTGTTTCTTTTCGGAAAAAAAGCTTTCTGAGTTAACATCTGAAGATGTTGTAAGGACCTGCCTCTGCTATCCCCACAGGAAGGCATGACTCTTGAAAGAATTAGTTACCAAAAGGAACTTTTACTGAGAGAAAGTGATTGCAGAGAAGTCTGAAGTTCCTGTGCAAAGTGTTAAGCTATTCTTCCCAATTCAAACCCCATCTCCCTTCACCAATCCACCAGTAGCCAATACAATTCTGCATAGGTTTTTTGAGAACTCTGAGGTGTTAGCTTGATAGCAGTTCATCCCCAGAGTACAGCAACCTTAGTGTCAGGCTGGAACTGGCTGGGAGGAAGTCATCCGTCTTCAAGATAGCCCCCCTTCCCTAAATCCCCTAAATCCCATGCGGTTACAGCAAAAGCGAAAGCATGCAGAGAATGCAACCCTGATAGCCTCTCCCCCTCCTCCATCATGTCCCAGGAGGAGACCTGAGATGCTGGCCTCTCAAAAGGATGGCTTATACCTGTAGAACATAACATAATAAATAGGAAAGAAAAAGAAAACATTTAGTTTCATTTAGGTTTATTAGGATATTGATTGTGAAACCGTTTGATTAATTTAGGGGCTCTAACTGGCAGTGGTTAACCCATTCATTTCGGGCAGTGGGAAAATCTTTCCATGATGCCAGGTATTGCAGGCTTCCTCAATGTTTACAGGACTCCAAAATTACTTAACTTCAAAATGTTGTTCACCTTCCACCATAAATGGTGGAACCTCAGATTTCAACAGATTACAGTGAAGT